GGCGGCGGCGGCCGCTGCCGCCGCTGCTCCAAGGCCGGTGTTCGGCTCCCTCGAGCGCTTGGTGCGTTTGAATACTGTCATTTGAGAAACACCGTTTTTCTTAGAGAAATCATGACAGTGAGGAAAAAACCCGGCAAACCAGAAAAAGCGGCTGTTCTTCTTCTTAGACGAAATGGGTACGAGCACATGTTCTCTCATGGTTAAGATGGCTATTCTTTAATTACTTCAGTGCAGAAGCGACTTTAAAACCACAGGTCCCCGCTGCCGGCTCGTGAGGCTGTTTCCCTCTTCGAGCCAGAGCTAATTGCGTCACACGCTCGTGGCGTCAACAGCAAGGTTACGGCCTTAGATAGGCAGTTGAATTTCGGTCCCACCTGCTCCTTGTTCCCCTTTCCCTGAGCCCTTTATGGCTATGGTAATTCAGCTAGCGGCATGTCTACATGGCACAGCTCGGATAGAATGACGCTTGAGATTCTTGTTCGGATTATTGTTCAGCCGCGTTCGACGGCGGCATCTGACGTATTTTGCCCGGGAACAGCCACAGCCGGGGGAACAGGGGTGGCATCGTGCCCCACGCGCAGTCCCTCGTGGGCGGCAGACGTGCAGGTCCCGGGCTGGGGCTGCCAGGACGTTCTCGCTCGGCGGAGAGGTGAAGCGGCTGAGGTGTTAACGTCGCGTCCTCCCATCTGCCCGGGACCTCACGGATACGGAGCCGCGTTGTGGGAAAAGGCTGGTCCCCACCGCTTGTCACCGCAGAGCGTGCGGAGCGTCTCCAGGCTGTGGTAGGTGCAGCCGGCCCGCGTCTCTTAACCTAGGCGACGCATGTACAGCTAATACAGCGGGTGAGTACTCCGTGAATACCCCAACCTGATTTATTCTGCACTTGCTTTGCCATGAGATGCCTTGAGTATCCTCTCTGCGTGTCGCAATGGGGCGAGGTTCTTCGTAATTCCTAGCGTGACGGGTCGGTTGCTCCGGTCGGCACTCCTCCCCGAGGGCTTTGAGCCGGGATTAATGCTTGTGGTCTTTCCTTAAACACAACCCTGCTGCTGCTGCTCGGTTGCAGCAATTCTCAATAGTTGAGTACGCTCAGAGGCGATCCGCCGAGCGCTGTGGCAAAAGCCAAGCCTGCGAGAGCAGAGCGGGGCTGCGGCAGGAGCTGGGGGGAGGACAGAGAGCCTTTGGTTATGGCCGCTTCCCGGTTTCCGGAGTAAAACCGGTAAAAGTGCGATGGAGCGTTAATAGCCCATTAAGAATCCAGTTGTGAACACGGCTCGGTGAAACTGCTGCCAGCCGCGGCTTTCGTGAGAACAAATCAGCCGCGCGTCGGAGGGGTCATGATTTCGTTATGGCCGTGTGGGGCTCGCCCCTCCCAGCCCCGAATCGGGCCGTTCCCCGTTATCTGTGGGTTTGCCAGCGCCTCTGTGCTGCGAAGGCAGCGCGGTTGCTTTGCTCTCGGGCTGTTTACCTTCTGTGAGTGCCGAGCGGGGCCTTTGCCAAGGCTTCGGATCCCCGTCCTCGAACGGCCCGGCCGTTTCCCCAGTGGTCTGTATTAAACCGCTGCTGCCTTTAATCTTGGCGATTTCATGCCGCAGTATCCATCTGTTTGGGAAAGAAGCCCAAAGAGGGAGGGCTGCTTGCAAAGATCACAGATGT